AATCTTCTGTAATGTCACTATCACACATAATGCCTTACTCTGCAACTGGGTCTTCTTTAAGGAATTTCTATACTAGTCCTATACTTGCATCTAGACTTTTACAGTATGACTATAGCCTCCATCGATCTTGTTTGTAGGAGTTTTGAAAGCTTGATTACTAGTTATGGGACCCGAAATTCTAGGATCTTAATTTTGTTTGTTGCAATGACAATATAAGAATCTTGTTTTTTTTTGGCTTTGTGTTCTCTATAGCAGTACTAAGATTTTATAAAATAATTATGAACAAATAACTACATCAATAATAATCACCAAATATTATCAAATATCACTAAATATTTATTGAATTAATCAGTGAAGAAAAAATATATCCGAAATTCGATTTATCAATTACATATTCAAATATTCAAATATCTGAATAATTATTCAACAGATCAAACCTCTTATTTTGAATTTTAACCCATTTGAACTAGGTTAGAGCAATTTTCAACCTGTGACCTGGGTAGAGATGGGTTTTGTTAGTTACGATCAGTTATTGATTGGCTATTATCAACTATCAACTAATAGTCAACTATAGCCAGTTATAGTTGATTAATATATAAAGTATTTAAAAACATAAACAGATTGATACAGATCAGTCTGAAAATACAAAAGATTCTGTAAATATGATATTTAATTGGCCTAATATCACATATCAGCTAGCTGGTCAGCTAAGTTGCTATAGTTAACTATTATCAACTATGGCTATAGTCGGTTGGCTAGCCAACTGCAAGCTGACCGAACCCATTTCTAGACCCGGTATTACTATCATAATTTTGGGAGTGTCAGTAATTGGGCCCGAGGTTAGATCAACGATAGCGAATGAAAGAGATATCGGATAGAATATAATAATAATGCAAGATGAAATAGGTACAATAATAGATGTACAATTGTAGTTGTAATAATTATATAATATAATAAAGAAAGATATAAATAAATAACTAAGATTATTAAGCTGTCTTAATAATAGGGATATCAGGATGTATATACAATGTATAACAGAAAAATGTGTAATATTATAAAGTTAAATATAGTAATAATGATTTTAATAATAATACAGAGCACCTTTTTAAGTGATTTTAACAATGGCTACAAATACAAGTGCACGTAAATCACAATTTAATAAGAAATTTAATAAGACTGTAAAAGTATGTTCACGATTAATGATCAAAGATAATGCTATGAAAATGTATTCTCGATAGTTATATCAAGGTACACAGGTGAGAATTCAATAATTTTAATTATAATAAGTCAAGTATATAAGAGATCGAAGCCTGAAGAAACTTTATTAAGGTCAAAAATTGAATCATTAAATACATGAATTCGTATACATAAATTATTATACTATGCTATTGTCAGGTTATCCTTCCCTCCGTTGTTTGCCTTAAACTTTCCATAAAACCCTTCCATCTATCTTTCCTTAAAAAATGACTTTGTTTTCCCCACTTATTATGCAGCATTCTGATAATAAGTAAACGCCCTTTGATAATTAAAGATCATTGAAGATGTCGGGCAACTATTTTCCTGTTCCAAGTTTGGCGATTTATAGGCACCATGGGCTTTTACTAGAACCAATAACCCAACGATGGAAGCAATCCCAAGAAAAAAATTCAACTCTGCTAACGACTTTAAGATCAAACGACTTCGTATCTATAAGCTATATATAGGTGACTAAATATATTAATGGAAATAAAATATGTAAAAAAAAATATAAAATAGGAAATGGATAATCTAATAACGTATTACTAAAATAAGAAGAAAAGGGAAAAGAGAAATCAAGTACGGTTAACGGTTTACAACACATAGTAACACCGGGTAAGAACTCTAATTATGATTTAGGTTGATATTAATGATGGTCAAGCGTAGCAAGTTTGTTAATTGATATAAGTGATAACAAGGTAAATTCGGGTTTTAAATTTCTAACTGAACCTAATTCTTTAGTTTTTATAATAATTTGGCCTGTAAGTTTTAAAGGTTAAAGGTCAAAGTCTGATTTTCCTTTGACTTCACTCATTTAAGAAAATAGAACTCCTTTGTTACTGCATATATTTTGTTTACTTTCATTCCCACGCCAATTTTTGAGCTACATTTGTTAAATTACAATTTTTTTACATTTTATACAGTGTTCTCGTAAGTGTATTTAGCATCTCCTTTAGCATTGCTTCTCGGATATTTAATCGATAACGAAAAATAAAAGTACGCGGTGTAGAGATCAAAAGTAAGTTCTTCAATTTGATCAATGGTATCTTATTCGATGCCAGATTTTTGTCGTTTTGACATAAAAAACTTACGCAAAAATACATCAATAATCCAATGACGGTTTAATTAGCGCGAAATACTCAGAGAACGACTTCATTAGTTTAATTATTATTATAATCATTATAATATGTACTTCATATTCTGTTATACAATATAATGTTATAACAAATTAATTGGTTAAAAAATTGTGTAATTCTTTTGAGATCAAAAGACTTTTATACCTATCATTTAACGGCATCCAATGTCTAGCCTTTAAAAAAATTATTTATTGATGAGATATATATAAAGGTATACAATAATATTCTTTATATTGAACCATATAGTAAATATTTCAATTGTAGTAAAATTTCCAATCCATCTGTCTTCTAAATTTAACCTAAGGAGATTAAATTATAGCGAAAATTTCTAGAATTTGAAGCTTCATTAACAAATATGGCTATTTTGGATAAAATATAGTATAGGTGACACTTAATAAATAATCAATTGATTTAAAGTAGGTGTCATCTATACCATATTTTATCTCAGGATCATTTAAATAGTTTGATTAAGTCTTGTTGAACTCAGGTATATTTTAAGGTGCTCATTTATTTCGAGGAGGGGAGAACTTAAAATCTTTGATTTATTAATTCGTTCAAAATGCCAAGAACTATTGATATTTCTGGACGTTTTTCAGGATCATCATCCCAACATTGTTTGTATAGTTCGATATATTTTTGCGGTGTGCATTCTATAGGAGTTTCCCTATTCCCTTTGAATATATGAATAGTAATCTGATATCCTTCCAACCGATTAAATGGTGGTTGGCCACTAGAAATTTCCCAAAGAATAACACCAAAACTATAAACGTCGGATCTTATATCACGTTTATATGCTGGTTCCTTAAAACATTGAGGTTCAATGTATGCTTGCATTTTATTAACAATTGAACTTGAAATTGTGCATCATTCATCTGTTCAGATAGACCAAAGCCTGCAATTATCATCTTTCTCTCGTAAACGAGGATATTTTTAGGATTCTATACAAATTAAATTCAATTAGAGATGTTCAAACAAATACATGTGTTTAGAATCATAGCTATTCTTACTAAATCGTGGTGAACAACATTCTTTTTGTGCAAAAACTCTAGTCCTTCTGCTATTTGTCGTGCCATACATAATTTATCGTTCCATGACAACTGAGAAAAATTGTCTTCTAAGTATTTGCGCAGATCTCCTCCGTCTGCATATTGTAAGATCATATAGTATTCATCGTAATCTATTTATTAAAGTTAAAAATGAGTTTAAATATTCACTAATCAAATGCAACTATTTAATAGTACCTTTAGTTACTCCATAGAATTTAATAATGTTTTGATGAAAATATTCTTCTTGCAAAAGATGAAGCTTTAGAAGTCAAAGTATAATAAAAGTTACAAGTATAAATATTGATGAACGAAACTCATTTTTTAGAAATTAAATCATACCTTATTGACAAATTTTTGAATAATTATTTCATTTAAATCATTAACGTTAACATTAACTTTAAAACTCTTAAGAACAACTGTTAATTTATTACGCTTATTCCACACCGATTTGCATACTGAACCATTAACAATAATTTTTTCAAGACTGCTAAATTCGGTATATTCATAATATTTAATTTTTTGTTCAAAAATTTCTAAGTCGAGCAATCCCCTTAAAGATTTAGGAGCATCTTCATTGGAATTTTTTCGATCATTCTTATTTAGTCCAAGCTCATATAAAATTCTAAGAGCTGTATTCATATTTGGACGTTTTTTAGGATCTCCATCCCAGCATTGTGTATAAAACTCAACATATTTGGGTGGTGTGCCATCTATGGGTTCTTCTCTCTTTCCAGTATGAATTTGGACAGCGATAATTTCTCTATTTTTATATTTGTGAAATGGTTTTCGACCACTTGAAATTTCCCAAAGAATAACACCATAACTATAAATATCAGACTTCGCATTAAGTTTATATGTCTCATCTGAAAAACATTTAGGATCCTTGAACGCCGTTATCCCATGAATATAATTAGGAGAGATTGAAGTTGATGTTTCTAGTTTTGCCAAACCGAAATCAGCAATTAAAGCTCTTCCACTGTGAATTAGTATGTTTCTGGTATGCTATAAAATGACATAAATTAAGCAAATGAAACTAATTGCACATTTATTATGAGATACACTTACGAGATCGCGATGTATTACACCATGATCATGCAAGAATACTAATCCTTGCGCTATTTCTTTTGCGATATGGATTTTATTGCTCCAATGTAATCTTGAAAAATTAACTTTTAAATGCTCTCGTAAATTCCCATCATTTGCATACTGTAGGACTATCTTGTAATATCCGTCAGGCCCTATTAATATAATAATTATTATTTAAATGGTTGTCGCTCAATTCCCCGAAAGCTATTTACCCGCCAATTCATTTCCTCGACACCGTAATGTCGACATGCTATTTCATCTACAGCACATTTTTTCGATAAGACATATATTTGACATTATACATTTTCGACAATCTCTTTCTTAGACAGAACATTTCCCCGACATTACGGTGTCGGGGAATGAGTTAGCGGATAAATAACTTTCGGGGAATAGTGCCGTAACCATTTAAATTATATTCCAATAAGCTTTCTTACTATACTAATCAATGCACTAAATGGAAATACCTTTAGATATTCCATAGAAATGATTTATATTCTCATGAAACCTTACAAGTTGTAAATGTTTAAGCTTTATATATAATGAAATATTCTTAACAATTTAACTTAAATAAATTAAGAATTTTATAAATTAAATATTAAGCATACTTCTCTTACAAATTCCTCAACTATCTGTTTTCTAATATTTGCTATTTTGATGGTTTTGAGGGCAACTGTCAATCCATAATCTATCCATTCAGCTTTATATATTGAACTATATGTGTTTTCATCAATTTGCTGCAAATCAGTAAATGCATTATAGTCAATGAAATGAACCTCTTCTCTTGAAATAGCGTCCTCAAGCCATAAATCATCTGTTCGATACATTTGGCCTACTGCATTTAAATTTATTGTTGCTTCAGTTGAAACAGACGTAATGTCAGTCTTTATAATTTTCTGATCTCCAGGAAGGAAACACCATTGAAGTAAATATTCATGGACATGTTCGTTTTTAGATGTTTTGCTCTCGCTGTTGAAATTTTCTAGTATTTCATCTTTTTTATGTCCGCGGATTAGTATATTAATTTCATTGCGATCATCATTTTTATCTTGAATTGTTAGTTTCATCCCATAATTCGGTGAAGGGTATAACATAGATACACAAAGAACAGAGGTTGTTGGCAAGTCTTTCGGAACATGTAACGTATATTCACTCTCACTGCACATAAATGAGTGACTGTCTAAAGCCAATACAGAGATATCTCGTGTGTGTATACTAAAAAATCCGATCTCGGTTGGTATTCCAATCATTATCCAAATTATTTGTGAGTCCGTAAACTTTCTAAATAAATGATAATAAAGAAAGGTTAGGAATGACACATTAAATGATAATAACAATAACATACATATTATTTATATCTATTTTCACTGAAAATCCAGTTAGACTCATAGATTGAAAGTTAATAGCTGTATCAATTGGTTCACCATTTTGTGTCACATGTTTTCCAAAAAGTTTATAGTTGTTGGAATCCAAATGAACGGGAAATTGTATATAATAGAGTTCAGTTGAGTCCTTAAAAGGAATTACTCCCATCATAAGTACTTTTTCTTTAAGTTTGTTTGTTTGATCACCAATTTCAAATATGTTTTTAATTTTGTTTTGAAGTTCTTCATCTAATATTTTATATAATGGGTACAGTCCCTTCCAATTTATGACTTGCCATGAGTCGATATTGCTTTCGAAGCAAGAACACACCAATTGTTTAAGTTCATCTCTCATAATCTTACCGTTATTCATTGGTATCAAAAATGTATCGTCTTTATCGTTGTTAGTTGATGCGTCAAAGTCATATGATTTTATATAGTTTTCCCATTGAACCAAAATATTGTTACTGTTATCTGTAAAGTCCAAATTTTTCCAATCCGTTAATTGTAATGAATCTTCCTTCGCATCCAAATAACAAGCTCTATATAGTCTGTGCCCCAAAATGATACTTTTGGGTAAAAAATATCCGTAAATTTTGAATATTTTTAATAACTCATGATAGGGATTATAGTGTTTTAAAGCTTGATCAACCGCATCATTTAGTTCCGACAACGGCTTTAATTCACTAGTTTCAAAAATTACCTCTGCTCTTTGGCACAGAATTCCTAGATAAACAAGTGATTTATCTGATTCGTTTGCTAGAATATTATCAATATCAGTCATCACATTCTGGATCAATGTCAGAGGAATCAATATAATTATTTAATAGGAATGAATCTTTGCGCTTTGTAGAAAACACTAGTTTTGTTTGAGATTGTCCGGTCGGATTATCTAATTTATGCTGTATTTTAAAGAGTGCAGGCTTTTCTGCAATTTGTAATCCCTGTTTGCTAATTGAAAAGCCATGGCTTAAATCTTTACTTTCAAAAATTTTCCATAGTTCTATAGACATGGTCCCATGGATTGTTTAGATCGATTTTGTCAATCAAACTTTAAAAGCTGTTTATATATGTAATTCGTAGTACAAAAACGTGAAATTGATTCAAATTACTATATCGATATCTGTACCAATTTCCAAAACTATCATTCACGTTAGCGAAATTTGTACTTCACTTTAAAAATATTATCTGAATAATAAATATAAACAATTTGACTGTAATTTGTTTCTAATTTGTTTTATTAAAACCTTAAAATATTTTTTTAACAGTTTTTTTTTAAAAATATTAAAATTATATAATCGTATTGTTTACATTTCAAATAATATCTATGGTGCTAAATACTATATAGTTATTGGATGCGAAGCAGCCAATAATAAATAGTTATTTGCAGAATCTGATTTGATTGGTCGATTTTAAGCATCGAAGGACGTAAAATTAAACCCCTCAAGCATAATGACCATACGATTTCTACTCTTATTATGAAAAATTTTCATAATATTAAATTATATGTATTTTAATTCCGCACGTAACTGATTTCTAGGGGTCTGCAAATGCCCATGTCAGGCACGTCAGCACCATGTCAGGCACGTCAGCACCATGCCAGGAACTAATGCCATTGGCTGTGCTGATTCCAATTTTTAAAAAGTGCCTGGCATTTTTAGGCCGGGAAAAAGATGCCAGAATCTATATTTATGCCCGTGCCATATGAATTTGGGCACATTTTTATGTAATAGTAGCACAATACAAATAACAAAATTTATATATTAAATAAAAAAAATACTATGTAACAAGACCCAAGTCTATTTATTCTACCAATCTTTAAACACTTTAGTAAACTTTGAGTCTAGTATACTGGGCGGCTTTCTATTCTTTTGCATTATATCAAGCATATAGTCAATACTTTTATTTTTCGCCATATGACTACAAACATTTTATATACTTAGAAATACAGTCGACTCCCTCTAAATGCATTGCATTGGGACCAGACTTTTAGCAACATGCATTAAGAGAACAATTAAGAAAAATGCATTTATAGAGATCAAATATATATGTGTGCCCCAAATTTGAACATGCATTTAGAGAGAACATGCATTTAGAGAACATACATTTAAAGAGAGTTGGCTATATATAATTTTATTGCATTGGTGCTAGAGTAAAGTTAATACCTGGATCAGCTTATATCCGAATTTAATCATTAGATTCAGATTTCATTGTTATATCCAGATTTAATCAATAGATCCGGATATATGTATAATATCCAGATTTAAATATACATGCACATTACTTTTGTCTACTCACAAATAGGTTTCAGATATAAAAGGATAAATATGTAAATCAAAACATCATTGTTAAATCCGGATATTGCACCTAGAGATGGGCATTCTACATTATATGCATTACATTATGCAAAACATAATGTCGCATAATGTAATGTAGACATTTTAAAATTTAAAAGTGCACATAGAAATTACTATATAATTTTAATGCAACAAAAATTAATGATATTATATTTTATATTATATGTAATACTAAGTGATATATAGCATCAGTTAGTGATTCTTACCTGTATAAAGCAGGCTAACTAATATGAAATTTGAAAGTACCATAAAATAGTAAACTTCTGTCTAGAGATAAGAAAGATTGGGCATGAATCTTGCTTTTTGATTTTTGTAAAACACCATGATTGCATAATGTTATTGCTATTATGCTGCATTATGCAATGCAAGCCAAAAAAACATGCATTCGCACATCTCTAATTGCATTTATGTATATCTGAATCTATTGATTAAATCCAGATATAACAATTAAATCTTGATTTAATGATTAAATCTAATTTAAAAAATAAAAATAGAATCACTGAAATAAAAACAGTTATATAGAAATTCTATATAACTTTATATAAAAAGGACTTAATAATATACATAATTGGTATTCTTTATTAAGCTTTTGCAATTTATACTTTTAATAGAAGGATTTATAGTAATATGGAGGTGAGTTAGTAAAAATAGAACAAATTTATTAGATAAATTTGTCCCATTTCTACTGACTCACTCTCATATATCAATAAAAATATAATAAGCTATATATACAACTTTAATCATTATTTATATAAGAGTTTTGTCTATAAGTTCTGTATTTATTTTTATATTTGAAATCTGCTTGTGGGTTTTATATTTTAATTCTTTAGTTTTTAATATTGGTTTACTTATTAAACTTTAATTTATTAAACTAACTTATATAGTAAATTTTGTTAAGAGAAATAGTACTTGTAGCTTTTTAACCTCATATGCTTTTGTAGAGTTTATCCAAATTCTG